TTCTCACTTTATTTTTAAAGCTAATTTTTTAACAGGCTTAAATTGTTAAACTCTTTACAAAAATCATAACTTTCTCATATGTTATCCGTTATCGACTGTCTTTATATCGGCGAATAGGTATTGACGAGATTTTCAACTCTCGTTTACATAGTTTTTCCTAACAATTAACCGATTTCAATTTCGGTTTCTGAGCTGTATAGTGTTGCGCTGAAACTTCGAAAAATCATAACTTCCTCTCACAAAGTCAGATTTGGGCGTTTTATATATGCACTATTTTCCTTTTTTTCCAATTACTATGACTTTTGTTTAGATTATTTTAATCTTTTATTTTTAATGTATATTTTAGCCCTATTTATTACATTTTAACGTAAGATTTTACACAGATATCATGTACTTCTAATATTTGTAGAATTCACACAAACATATATATATATATATATATATATATATATATATATATATGAATAATTTAATTTTATTTATTCTAAAAAATTTACAATAGTTAACTGACAAGGTTACAAATTTGATAACTAAGCCTAGCAGGAAACACGGACGTTACAATTCTCTGCCCTTTAGGATGATTCCGTCCTGGAATCATGCATCAACAAACAAATGTGGATAGTGACTCTTCATATCGCTCTTTGTCTCCTAGGTGAGGTTTGGCCCTATCGAATGTTTCCATCGCACTAGCACTAAGTTAATCATCTTGTGCCCTAACTTCATTGTCTTATGGTCAACGATTTCTTTAGGCTCTTCGATCAACCTTTTATCCTCATCAATCCTTAATTCTGAAAGTGGTATCATATTAGGTTCTCCTCCCTCGCACTTCCGTAAAGAACAAACATGAAAGGTTGTATGAATACCTTCCATTTCAGGCAATAATTCAATCTTGTAAGCCTGTTTCCCTATCTTCTGAAGTACTTTGAATGGTCCACTGAAACACAGACTCAATTTCCCACTTTTACCGAATCGAATAATTCCCTTCCATAGAGAGGATTTAAGTAAGAATTGATCTATGATTTCAAACTTTAAAGTTCGTCACTTCTTATCTGCATAGTTCTTCTGACGACTTTGTGAAGCTAACATTCTTTCTCGAATGATCTTTACTTTATCAGCTGTCCGTTGAACCATCTCAGGACTAACAAATTGTTTCTCTCTTGCTTCTAACCACCTAGATGGTGTACGACAGTTCCTTCCGTACAATGCTTCGTAAGGAGGCATCTTGGTGCTTGATTGATAACTATTGTTGTAGGCAAATTCCGCTAATGGTAGGTGATCATCCCAACTTCTAGTGAATTCTAACGCACATGCCCGCAACATATCCTCCAAATTTTGGATAGTTCTTTCACTCTGTCCATCCATTTGAGGATGATAGGTAGTACTCAAACATAACTTCATGCCCATTTCTTTTTGCAAACTTTTTCCAAAATCCTAAGGTAAATCAATTGTATCTGCTTGACACGATCAATAAGGGTACTCCATGAATGTTGACAATCTCTTTCACGTAGGTTTCTTCCAACTTCTCCATTGACCAGTTTTCTCGTGCGACTAAGAAATGCACACTCTTTTTAAATCGTCTACTATAACCCAAATCATCTCATGGCCCTTCTTTTTCACTGGCAACTTAGGTATGAAATACATGGTAATGTCATCCCACTTATCCATGGGTGCTGGTAGAAGTTCCAAGTCTCCATATGGCTTCTGATGTTGTGCTTTTACTCTTGCACAAGTCACATATTTAGCCACATAAGTTGCTACATCGACCTTCATAGTTGGCCACCAGTAATAGGGTTTTAAATCAAAATATATTTTGGTGCTGCCTGGGTGTATAGAATACATGGTCTTATGGGATTCTTCCATAAGAACATCTTGTATTCCGCCCATCTTTGGCACCCAAATACGATTTTTGAATGTCTTTAACCCTTGATAGTTTTCTTCGAACACTAACATCTTGCCTAGACTTTCTTCCTTCTTTGTATCTTCAGCTAAGGCTCTAGTATGAGATTCTTTGATCTTTTCTACAATCGTTGAAATCATCTCAATCTTCAACGATCTAGCTCTTTTCTGTTCTGGATTTACCTTCCTACTCAAGGCATCGACTACAATATTTGCTTTACCAGGGTGGTAAAGTACCTCATAATCGTAGTCCTTGAGTAGCTCTAACCATCGTCTCTGCCTCATATTCAATTCCTTTTGTGTAAGGAGATATTGAAGGCTTTTAAGATTTGTAAACAATTTGCATTTGGTTCTGTAAAGATAATGTCTCCATATCTTTAGCGCAAAAACTATTATTCAAAGCTCTAGATCAAGTGTTGGGCCGTTTTGCTCGTGGGTCTTCAATTGTCTTGAGGCGTAAGCTACTACTTTGTCTCTTTGGGTAAGGATGCATCCGAATCCAACTCTAGAAGCATCACTGAAAACTGCAAAATCATTAGTTCCTTCTTGTAGGACGAGGATTGGTGCTTCACATAACCACTTATTTAATTCACTAAAAGATTTTTCTTGTTTCTCTCTCCAAGTGGAGGCAGCTCCCTTTTTTTGGTCAAGGATGTTAGTGGAGCTGCAATAGAAGAAGTTTTTTGGATGAATCTTTGTTAGTAACCTGCCAATCCCAGAAATCTATGAATTTCACAGGGATTCTTTGGTGTCTCCAATTTCAAAACAACCTATATCTTTGTTGGGTCAAACATTATGCCCTTCTGGCTAACCACGTGACCCAAAAAATGTATCTCCCAAATCCAAAAGTCACACTTGGAGAATTTTAGATACAACTTCTCCTTAAAACCACCAAAATAAGCAAAATTAGAAAAGAAAGAAGAAAAATAGAAAGATAAAAAGAACATGCTATGCAAATGAGAAAGAAAAATGTACATTTGTCTGTGGAGAAGTTCGTCGGAGAATTGGATTGTCGTCGGTACAACAGATCGATTGTCGCTAAGGAGCTGGAAATCACTCCGACGGTAGAAGTGGGATGTGCCCGTGGTTACAAATCGATGGAAAATATGAAATCGCCAAAGTTCGCCAGAAAAACATTGTGATCGTCACCGAAAATTTGAGAGAGAAATGGAGGATGTATTAGTTGTTGCGACCTGTTGGGGAACAAAAGGTCGTACCCTTCAGTGAAGACGCCTTTAGCGGCGTCTTTTGAACCTTTAGCGGCGACGAGTTGGAGAGAAAATTACGCGCATTTTTTTTGTTAGTTTTAGCGGCGACACTATCGTCGCAACTGGAGTTGTCGCAACTAACCGTTGTCGTTGGATACAGATGAAATCGTAGGGCCAGGACTTGATCCGGAGGCATTCACACGGATCGCCGATAACACCCTTTAGCGACGTCAGTATTAGCGGCGACCCAACCCTTTTATTGACGACCAAAACCCGTGTTGTCTAATGTCGTCTCTAAAACTACCTGTCGTCGCTAATGGTGTCGTCCTAAAGTAAATATTTCTTGTTTTGTTGGGACTATTAAATGAACATTTAACGTTTCATATGCACCAGGCGAAGGAAGTGGCAAGAGTTACAAAGATTGTGCGTAATTTTCTTTTGATATTCTATGATTTTACATTTTCCACAAGTAGTTTTTTTTTTATGTTTCCAGTTAATTTTCATATTTTTTTTCTTGGTATACCTCTTATAACGAATACCTATGCATCCGAATCTTCATCACCTCAAATCAACATTAATCATCAACAAACTTTCGTAGCTGCTCCACAAGTTCCAACTATTGTCACACATCTTCTAGCCGTTGCTACACCACCACCAATAGTGACTACCGAGAAGGAAAATGAAGGGTCAAATTTATTTGATAATTTATTTCATTAACTTTGGAAAATATTAGTAATGTCCTCATACATATACATTACTTTTAATTTGAAAATTATATTTTTTTTATGTAATGGGTTATCTTTATTTGTATCTGTAATACTTTTTATGTATTATGAGACATGTATTATGCATGCTTTGTATGTGACAAATTATATTTTTTATGTAATGGATTATCTTTATTTGTATCTATGATACTTTTTATGTGTTATGAGACATTGACTATGCTTGATTTTTAATATTAATATATTTAGAAAATATATATTTTATAAAAACATAAACATCATGATGCAAACAACGAATGTATTAAAAGATTAGGAAAAAAATTTAAAAAATAATGTGTCAAAAATTATGACATGCAAATGGTTATAGATGCTTGTTGTCTGTTTTTATGACAAAACTTTCAATAACATACATGGTTTGGCATCTATGCCATTTACGGTAGACAATGTCTCTGTCGCTAAAGATTTTTTTTTTCTAATAAGATTTGGAGTTCAATGACCTTTAAATTTTTCAATAGGAAAAATTCCAACTTTTTAAATTTATTTAAGATATGTTACACTGAATTTAATAGAGTTTAATGAACTATAGAGTTGAATGTTAAAATTGGATGAAAATTGAAATATTTGATGTAACAATACATATAAAGTGTTATATAGACCAAACAATAAGTCCATGTCTTCATGGGAAATTTGGAAGTTCGCAAATGGACTACAAAGGTAATTCAATAGTAACTGATGCTAGAAGGTGAAGCCATCATGGTGATATGGGAAATCTAGAAGTTCATAAATGGCCTCATTTTTAAAGACTTTAAAAGAAGCAGGGATCACATTTTATTCAATTGTATCACCATTATCATGCTTTTATTGAATGCCGTCTAAAAAATAAGTCCATGACTTTGGTGTTTTACCTTTTATTTAGCATTTTCAAGATTAGAAGGAAAGTTTATCGTTGTTTCTCCACGTAACTATAAGTGCATGTGTTATGTATGTTACCTTTTCAAGCCATTAATGAGTGATTTTAAGTGAAGTTGCGAGCACCCTTGCATTATTATCATTCATATCATTAGTTAGTTATTGTACAAGCGTTTCTTATATACATCATTTATCATATTTGAATAGTTTTCATATATCTATTATATATGTTAAAAGCAACTTTTTAATTATTTCAATAATTCTACTGTTCTAGTGCTATTAACTGTATAACCCTTTTTCAGTATGTTACATCAAAGAAAAAACTCGGATCTTATGAAATGCAAAGTACTTCTCATACTAGTTCATCACTTACTGCTAGAAGATGTCGTTTCTAACACCAACCATGATAGATTTTCACTTCATGCAAGCTTCTCGCAGATCATATTGACCAGTCCTAGAATACGTGTCAAGGAATGACATGAAGTTGAATATATATGTGTTCTAAATGTTCTTACAGTTTAATCCATTCATTTCCATCAACGTAGGAGATATTCATGAAAGGAGATGCATCTGCTAGGGTCAGTTGCTTTGCGTATTTAACCCTAGAATGGCTTGCTGCTCCTGGACCCGAGCACCCATACTCCCCAAAGAAAATTGTCCTGAAAATAAATGTTAACATTAGACAAGAAATGTTAGTAACATTGATAAACATAAGAAACAAATGGTGTAGAAAGACTAAAATAGCCATAACTGATCTCTTTTGGGGTCTCTCCAGTCATTCCATCCATCAGGAGAAACAACTTCAGACATGAAAGTTTTTGAGAAGACGATAGTTGAATATATACCCCAAGCTCTACCAAGCCACACCTTACCTCTTCCTTTTATCTTACAATTCACAAACGAAAACCCGGTTTTCTCTTTAGTCGACTCCCTCTTTTGTGCTGCTATAGCTCCAACATTCTTATTATTGACTAAAGAGATAATTGTACAATTCTATAAAATAAATAAATAAATAACTAGTTAAAAACATGTAAATCTTTTCATCCAGGTTTTCTTGAAGAAGTGATAATTACCTCATAAACTGATCTAGCATTCCCAAAGATAAAGTCAACTGTTCCTTCGATATAACATTGTTTGAAATAATGTCTTCCTTCAGCATCATTAAGAGTGTCTTGAAATCCATAAAACCCGCAGTTATAGAAAGCTGCTTGGTCACCTGCAATTCTCAGTGCCAAAGCTTGTGCTCCGATTACACCTGGCTCTGGACGAGGAGCTGTGTTCTTTGCCATCAGAGAACAAATTAAGCATATTAATTTTAAAAAGAAAAAAAGAACCTATGTTTTAAACTTCCATTATGTTTAATTTAATTGCATTACCTTGAAGCCGATGTCGTAAGCAATGAAATTTTTACCATAAATGCAAACTGTGTAGCTGTAGATAGTGCCGTTGCTTGAAGCCGCAGTGTCATTCCACACTATCATTGTCTTGAGACGGCCCTGGCCTTGAATTATCAAATTAGTCTTCTTCTGGCTCACTAACACTTTCTCCCTGCCACAACAATAGCATTTTATTGGATTTTAAATGCACATTGAACACGGCTTATAAAGGCAAAGATTGCATGATCAGGAGACATTACTTGTATGTGCCCGAATCAAGAATGATTAAGGATGCTTTCTGGCTGTTTTCTGGAACAGCGTCCACTGCCTTTTGTAAACTTTTGAATTTCCCACAACCCAAATGATCAACGGTCAGAACTAGCTCGACCTTGTACTTCGATATGAGTGGAGACTTCCACTTATTTTCATCACAAGTGGCCTTATCACCCATTGTTGGGCCAAGAATCTGGCTTACGAAATAAAAGATCTCAGAAATTCCAGTTTGCTCATAAACTCTTTTGAAAATAGAAAAGACTTCACTTCCCGTTGAAAATATAATATTGGTTGATTTGGTGTAGAAGGCGAGTTTGATGAAAAGGATAGCCATGGCAGTTGCTGACGACCAAAATAATAATCTTTTGGTGTTCATGGCTTTGGATTAAAGGGTTGTGGTATTTTGAGTAAAGAACTATTTTCGGATATATAGTTATACTCTTTTTAATATGATACCTCTACATATTACCATGTACGATACAACCTTATTTTTATGCTCAAACTAGACAAAACACACGCGTTGCAAATAAAACTATAATGATTAAAATAATGAAAAATGTGTTGTTTACAATAATATTAGCGATGAGCATATGGACCGGGGAACCGGCCGGAACCGGTACCCGATGGAACCGGTCGGGCCGGGACTGATACTAAAATTTCATCAATTTTTGGAACCGGGACCCGGTAAGAACCGATCGTTGGAACCGGCCCAAAACCGGAAACCAGACCGTATAGAAAAAATATGTTAAGATTAAACGTTTTATGTAATTATGTTATTGTTTTCTATCGAGATAAAATACAAAAAATATGTATCGAGTCAAACCTTCCGCATATAATTGTTGGAAAGGTGAAATAACCTCATCTTCATCATCATCGCATGGAAACTCCAACCGGACTAAATTGCTTTTTCTTCTCACTTTCCTCTTTCTGTGAATTATAACCATCAAGAAATCAACTCTTCAATTTCATATATACTTTTACATGCAAATCAACCACTAAAGAATTAATTATGTTTATGGTAAGTTATTATATTTCAGTAACAAATATCATGCATGGTCAAAGGTGGTTAATATAATGTCAAATGAAGTTTAAATCTTAAGTAAAAGACAAATCATGAATTCATGATGGTTCCCAAGTAAGTAAATCCTACGGTTAGAATTTTGACTTATCAAGGTCAACTCACTAGTACTTCACAAACATACAACAGAAATGACACCTGCCCTTAATTACTCGATCCACTTTAAATCTTCTTATCACACTAAAACACCTTGGAATTCCATATTTCCTCAACTTCCCATGTATTTTTTTCTCTTCCCATACCATTTTGTTTTGTTATAAACAATTTATTATTCATTTATTCTTATAGAAATATAACAAATCTTATTTATCAGATATCATGAGAATCGTGTACTGTAGAGAGCAGGAGATCAAGGTGTTCGGTAGCTTTTAACGGCACAGATTAAGCAAAGGAATAACGCGTGGGGGGGTGAGTGGATCTAAGGCAAATTCATGTATATGTATATAAAAAACATAACAGTTTTGCATTCATGTTATAGATCTTCGAGCTTATAATCACATTCAATAACCAGGCATAAACCGAAACCGTAACCCCAAAATACGTTGCTATTTATCGAAGATCGGTTCCAAAATCGAAAACCCGGCAAAAACCGGAACCGGAACTGGAACCAGTAGAACCGAAACCGGTAGAACCGCCAGGCCGGTTCGGTTCTTGATTTTGGCCGAAGCCAGATCCCGGGTCGGGCCGGTTCCGTCCGGTTCGGTCCTTTTGCTCATCCCTAAATAATATCATTATATAATTGACACGTATATGTTATTCCACTACAAGAATAAGAGTAAATTATACGAATGGTCCCTATGGTTTAGGGTAATTTACGCGTTTGGTCTCTAACTTATTTTTTTAACTCGGAAGGTCCCTACTGTTTGTTTTTGCTACACGCTTGGTCTCTGTCTTACCTAAAAAGACTATTTTGCCCTTGATTTTTTAATTTATTTAAATAAACACACTCTCAACCCCACTCCCCTCACCTTACCCTAGTTATCCCATCATTTTTCCCTATTCAAATAATACTCTTTTTAGGTAAGACAGAGACCAAGCGCGTAACAAAAACAAATAGAAGGGACCAAGCGCGTAACAAAAACAAACAGTAGGGACCTTCCGAGTTAAAAAAGTAAGTTAGGGACCAAACGCGCAAATTATCCCAAACCATAGGGACCATTCGTGCAATTTACTCCAAGAATAACTACATATGACAACGACAACTATCCCGATGACAAATGTCGTTGCTACAAGTAGGGGTATGGCCATAGCTTTTGCCAAATTTGCAAATTTCACCAAATTATTTATATCCTTGTTATTAGTTTAGAGTTAATATTTTTTATACTAATCATTTCATTAAGTTGTTTCTTATTAATATTTAGTTATTGTTTATATATTATTAATGACATCCATCATTTCCTAGCAAACATTTTAGCTATTTTGGATGATACTTTTATTGATAATTTATAAAACAACAACAAAAGATAAGTTTCAAGTGGAAATTAAAAAAATTTAAAAACAATATCCAAATAACAAAAATAAAATAATAAAATTTAATAATAAAAACAACAACAACGATAAGTTTCAATTAGAAATCAAAGAATTATACAAAACAATATGTAAAAAACAAGAGAAGTTTAACATGAAAAAAGAAATAGAACAAAAGACATAATAATAATTAATTTGATGAAATTTTTTATCAAACAGCCATGTTATTGCTCATACATTAACCCATGAAGTAAAACTTTATGTCTTCTTAGCACATTCTCCACTAATCTTATTCATGAAATCCCAACAATCTAGTTTACATCCATGAAATATATATATATATATATATATATATATATATATATATATATATATATATATATATATATATATATATATATATATATATAGGGTTAGGTTATTTTGTTTCTAGTAACTATTGTGTGCCAGAATGCACAGATCTGGACCATCAGATGGAATATAATCAAAGGTCATGATCTAAGGGTCTATGATAGTACAATAGGGTAACATGTACCATATAATCACACAAATTTCAGCATAAGGGCATTGTAGTCAATTGAGATAAATTTAAAAAAGGAAAAATCGAGATTTATGGGATAATTAATGATTTTGATCTAAAAAATCTGATTTTTTTTCAAATTAATTCAATTTCAAACGTAATTTGTAAACATAAACCGAGTTTATTCTATCAGAATGTTATTTTGTTAGAATGATATTCTGTAATTCTGTCAGAATGGTATATAACTATGAACATAATATTATAAAAACATATTATCAACACCAATAATTTTTAATGAATACAAATTTTATATAAGACGAAGTTTAATAGTTTAGAATAGGTAATTACATTCATTCTTAAAGAATACAACTATGAACATAAACTACATTCATTCTTGAAATCTCTTGCAAAAAAAATATCGGCATTCTTGAAAGAATCCTCATTCACTTTCTTGTTTCGTTTCTACATGTCTTGTGTATGTTTGACCTCTAAGTCACTTCAAAATATGCTAGCATTCTATGAGATTGACATTTTGTGAGATTGGCATTCTGTTAGAATTGTATTCCATGAGAATAATTTTATACAAGGAGTCTTTCCCATCATGTCTTCAAGCCATTCTTCAAGCCATTTCTATCACAAATTCATTGCCAAATATTTTATAGTGATACACTTGTAACAACTGCACATTAAACATATAACTAATTAACTACAATTCTATCAGAATACATCAATAATATTCTTACAGAATAAAGTATTCTTGCAGAATGGTTTTGAATATTCTTAAAGAATTTGTATTATCAAGAATATATCCAAGGAACAAAACATTGAGTCCTACCAATAAAACACTTAGCATCTGAAAAATAAACACGACACAAGCAACCACATTATGATAAAAAGGGATGCGGGTTTAGAATAAAAAAGAATGGTGTATATTCTAACTTCGCAGAATTGGTTACGGTAATTCACTGCTTAAGTTGACAAAGGAATTCAAGATCAAAAAGCAATTGGATGTAAAATCTATTTTCAGGATTGAGGTAAATAATTTCTACAGTTAAACACAAGTTACGACATCACATAAACAATCTTTTGTTTTCCAGTTACAAATACCTAGATTTCAACTATGCATTTTATCAAACACGTTGTGTGCTTCTTCAGTTTCTTCAAAAAAAATTAGTGAGATTCTTACCAATTCAGTTTCTTGAATTCAAGAAACAAACCCAAACAACCATGAGTTATATCCCATCCATTATCATAAATTTTTTTAGGAAAACCCAAACATCCAAATTTACATGGATTCAAATAAAAAAAAGACGAAGAAGATCACCTGTTGGCCATGGATGCTTCCGTTAACTTCCTCTTCCTTCGATCAATCAAGAATCGAGACCTTTGTCCCCTTCAAACTTGTTGTTTTGCTGCTTCCTTTCTCCCTTATGTGTCAATGGCCAACAGCCCCATTTTCGTGTTTTTCCTTTCCTGACAAACAAAGAAAAACAAATACTTCCCAATTTCAGTCTTTTGTTGCCATTCTCTCCCCCTAGTTATTGGATTACCGGACCAGAGAAAGAAGAACAGGAGGCTGCCGGAGCATACCTCTGTCCACGAACCTGCAATCGCCGAGATTTCCTCCCCGTTCTCTCATCGCTTCTCACTTGCGTTCACGGACCCCACAGCAGCGCCACTGCTCCTTCACATCCCCTTCTTCAGCCTCATCAAACCCCAGAGTCCATCATCGATTGCGAGACAAGAGTATGTGCTCCCTTTTGGATCCATCGATTGTAGAAGAAGAAGCAGAAGCGGTGATGGTGATGGTGTTGATGCCGATGATGAACGTGTTCGGCCACAGACATAACTAGGTCAAATATATTTACTTTATTTCCTTAATTGAATGATTTCAATTAAATGATTTCCTTAATTAAAAGTACAAAAGGTCCAAAATACCCTTTAATGATTCATTTAATTATTTATTATTTCTTGAATTCTCATTGGTGCATTTAGGCACACAATAGTTGTTAGAAACATTTGAACTTAGCTCTCTCTCTCTCTCTCTCTCTCTCTATATATATATATATATATATATATATATATATATATATATATATATATATATATATATATATATATATATATATATATATATATATATCAGCCAATTAATATACCATAAGTTATAAAACCTCTTAAGATTTTATAGCTAATTAATTGAAAATTGAAGTTTTAACATTAAAGTAATATTTAATATAGTTAGCTAGATGATAAAAGTAAGAGAAATTAAATATCCTCCTACTTTTCTTCCTACATATCCTCCTACCCATTTGAAATGATGACAAGTGTACTAAATTAATGATAATCTTATCCAAATATGACACATGTCACCATTTTACATGTTTGATAATGATTAGAAAATGAAGGACTCGGTCCAACATGTAGACTCGGTCCAAGTTTTTCTACTGTTTCGGTCCTTTCTTTGCAATCGATGGACTGGGAACAAAAGTCGATACTTCCCATTTTGCCCTACTATTTTTTTGCACGCCTCCACTGAAGAACTAGAGAAACCCAAGACAACTTGAAGCCGTTCACTTCCACAGTTATCTTCCAGTCGATTTCTCCCCCCAGCGAAGCAATTAGAGAAAAATACTTCCGACGACATGGTATCTGTTGCTTCCCATCTTCTTCGTGAGTTTTTTTTATCGATTTTTTCTATGTAACACCATATTGGTGTCGATTTTTGCTGTATGAAGTTTTTTCCCTATATGATGTATGATTGTTGTATGAAGTTTTTTTCCCTATATGATGTATGAAATCAAAAAGT